ACATGCTTCATTTGTGGACTTCAGAACACTCGTTGGCATCCCTTCGAGTTCATCTATCAGCCATCAGTGCTTTCCATTGTCCGACACAGGGTTTCTCATTGTTTTCACACCCAACCACCAAGCGATTCCTCAAGGGTCTGAATAATATAAGTCCACCTCGGAGACCTCCTCCACCATCATGGAATTTGGACTTAATACTCGAAACGCTTATGTTTCCCCCCTTTGAACCATTGGCATCCGTAGCACTGCAGATGCTAACTATGAAGACCACTTTCTGGCTTGCAATTACGTCAGCACGCAGAGTCAGTGAGTTAGGAGCGATGATGTCGACTCCCCCATTCCCACATTGTTTTCAAAAGAAGCAGTGACGCTACGATTGCACCTGGCGTTCACGCCCAAGGTCTCCTCATCGTTTCACATCAATGAACCTATTGTATTTCCTTCTTTTTATCCAAAGTCGCATGCCTCAAATAAGGAGGCTGTGCTTCATATGCTGGATATTAGACGTGCCCTTACCTTCTACATAGACAGAACCAGACAGGCGCTGAACAGATAAACTTTTGGTATCAACAGCGCAGCGATCCAAAGGGCAGGTGCTTTCCACTTAATGCATAGCTAAGCTTATCTCCCTCTGCATAACCACATGTCACTCTATTCGTAACAGACCATTGCCCTCTTATCCACGGGCACATTCTACTAGGGCAGTAGCAACTTCTATGGCCTTTGCCAGGGGAATTCCCCTAGCGGATATTTGTAGAGTACTTCTTTTATGAGACACTATGCCATAGTGCAACAATGGGCGTCAGACCACGCGGTGGCTTCCGCAGTCCTGTCTTTTACAGGCAATAATTAATTGACCCGGAGTGCTGGTGTTCCGGTTACTGCTATACAGTCACCTAGAGTGGAGCACCCCCGGGGCCACTTGAAGAAGAAGAACAAGTTACCCTGTGTAGTAACAGTGGTTCTTCGAGATGTGCCCCGTGGGTGCTCCACGACCTGCCCTCCTCCCCTCTCTGGGTCTCTCCCTTTGATTTATCATTTCAGGGATAAGTCAAGCGGCGAGCGGTGAGAAGAACTGGCGGGGGGAGTGCTGGTCTGCGCCCGTGATCAAAGGTGCGAAAGCCGCATGCTGCAGGGGACATGTGCAGACCAGCTGAAGATGGTTCTGAAATCTTCCGACCAGCGGCGCCGGGATGGACCCGACACCTAGAGTGGAGCACCCCCAAGGCCACTCGAAGAAGAACCCCTTTCTGTTCTTTTGATTTACTTTTGAATGAACATGATTGCAGTGTTGACATAATTCAGGTTTTGTTGGAAAACTGGCCATTTTTCCAACAAAACTGTAGTGTAGACATACCCTTACTCTTCCATTGTCACCTAAAAATGATCAAGACCAAAGTAAAAACAAGGATTTTTCAATACATTACTCTGGAATTGTAACTGTTATATAATGTGCTATGTAATTATATACATACCATTTGCAGATAGATTCCAGTAATTTCTGGCTGCATGCTGACATCTTAATCGGTGCCTTATTACAGCTATTTTGGAATAATAAACAAAGCTGATAAATCAATACCCCGACCCACTTCTTTTTGCTGATGATGGGAATTCAACTTGAAGCCCTCCTTCCACTGATAGCAATCCTTAACATTAAAAAAATCTAACCAGGTCTCCTGTTCTGTGCCTTGATAATACCATACTGTCAGTTGAGGGCCACAATTTTTTTACTGTGTGAAAGCTTATGAGTGACATGCCTATGTTATAGTTGAGACAGGTGATTGTTTATCATTTTCTCTAATATAAATATATATATATATGGCTACGTCTAGACTGGCATGATTTTCCGGAAATGCTTTTAACGGAAAAGTTTTCCGTTAAAAGCATTTTCGGAACAGAGCGTCTAGATTGGCACGGACGCTTTTCCGCAAAAGCACTTTTTGCGCAAAAGCGTCCGTGCCAATCTAGATGCTCTTTTGCGGAAATAGTTTTAATGGAAAACCTTTTCCGTTAAAAGTATTTCTGCAAAATCCTGCCAGTCTAGACGCAGCCCCAGGGAGTTAGCAAGTAACAAGCAGAGCACAAAATGCATTCGGAGTGGAGGGGTTAGTATACAGCAGCAGGATCCACATGGACACGTCAGCGCTTGACAGGTTAGTGTGCTGTCCATTTGCACCCCAGCTTTCCCCATGCTGCGTACAGCCAGACGTTGGCCAGTCTAGACACAGCCTATATGTATAACTACATTGTTTTTCTCAATGGTACCATTGCATGTGTGGGGAAAAGGGCTTTAGAATTATATCCAATTTGACCCATTTCTGACATAGCATTGGAAAATGTCCACCAACCGAAGGACATAGAGTGGAGAGCCCGGGTGCAATGTGTCCCCCTGTGACACTGCGGAGGGTGACACTATTGAAATTATTGCATAGAGTTTTGCAATTCAAGTGAAATTTCCCTTACCTTTGTATCATTAATTTGCTCAAGCAATTACACATGTTCCTGTGTGTAATGGCTGAGCCATTGGTTGCTCTCTACTCTGTTTCAGAGCCCAGCTACTTTTGTCACTGCCTGGAACTGATTATAAGCTGGATTCTTTTTGATTAAAATTAGCTAGCACAATTGTTCGATGCCCACAAGCTGACTATATTCAGCTCAATCTCTGGAAATATGCCCACGTGCTGAAAGCTTTGCAGTGGGGAAAGAAAAGCAGTTCTTCAATGGCGGTCACGATGAGCTACAATTGAGGATTAAATTGCTTATGCTGGCAGAATGCCTGGAGAGGATGATCTAGGGAATAACACTGATTTACTGGCTCAGTTATAGTCCATTACAGGAAGATTTTAAACCAGACCGTACCAAATGTACAACAGACACCATGGGAATGAACAATAGTTCTTCGGCTGCCATGGAAAGAGTTCAGATCAGACCTCCAATATTTCAGCGGATCCTGAATGCTTGCTAGCATAGGTATATCCAGGCCAGTCTCATGTTTTGTTAAATCTCCAAGCCACTGGGCCAAGAACAGAAAGGATCAGAGCCTGAGCCTAAGTGCTGGATGAAACTTCATTTAGGCATCCTCGTTTCCCTTTGCTAACCTATCTGTGCAATAGCCACCTTCAAAAGGGGGTTCCACTTGTACGCTTGCCTTCCCAAGTGCCCAAGGGTATGTCTACACTACAAAGTTAATTCGAACTAACAGACGTTCGCTACACATACAAACCGCTAGTTCGAACTTAATTCGAACTAGCGGAGCGCTTAATTCGAACTAGGTAAACCTCATTCTACGAGGACTAACGCCTAGTTTGAATTAACTAGTTCGAATTAAGGGCTGTGTAGCCACGTAATTCGAACTAGTGGGAGGCTAGCCCTCCCCAGCTTTCCCTGGTGGCCACTCTGGGGATAAAGAGAGTTTCTGTTTTTGAACACACGTGTCCTTTATTTTGTACATCAGGAAGGGGGGCTAGGGAGGGGTAAGTGGAAGGGGGTGAGGGAGGAATGGGGTACGAGCCCCCAGTGGGGAGGACTGGGCTGGCTCTGTGGGCTCCTCAGGGTGGAAACTCTTCTGAAGCCCCTTGATTTACCCCGCCCCCGGATGGCAGCCTGCGGCAAGTGCAGCCGGGCAGATGGCCGAGTGCTGTGATGTGCCAAGTGTGGGCACTCAGGGCACTCCAAGCCAGGACTGCTTTGCAAGCGGGGAAACCCTGAGAACTGTCTGTCTGGGGTGGGGGTTGGGTTCCTTTAAGCACAGCCCTCGGCTAGCGTGAGGTAGCAGCTCCACGCTCTAAGTCCTAATCTGATGCCCTGCCGGCACTGCTTCCGGCCATCCTTAACCTCAGTTCAGGGTCCACTCAGTGTGGACATGCTAGTTCGAATTAGCAAAATGCTAATTCGAACTAGTTTTTAAGTCTAGATGCGCTAATTCGAATTATCTTAGTTCGAATTAACTAATTCGAACTAAGTTAGTTCGAATTAGTGCTGTAGTGTAGACATACCCAAATAGCCTAATGTTCTCTGTAGTGTTAGCCCAAAGATTTCACCATCATCACAAATGCAAAGGAGGTTGGAGTTCTCCTGGATCCCAAGGTGCCTCCAACCAATGTTATGAGTAACACAGACATAAATTAACACTATTTTTGGAGTGGGTGTATTGTGGCCAGAATCACTGTAGCTGGGACAGAAGAGGTCAAGAGCAGTGTGTTGTAAAAGTATCATGATGGTGCTACTAGTAGCATTCCAGCATCTCTCAGAGGTGAAGTTCTAGGTGACTTGTATACTCATAGAATTAATGCCACCTCTATAAAAGCTCTCCTTTCGTTGCAACTCTGTTCTGCCATGGTCTGAATCTTAAACAATAAGGAGTATGAAACTCTGTAAAAAAAGACAGTCTTACTGCTGTATGCAGAAAAATTGTACGAGGTACAGTAGAGTTGAGCAAATAATTTGTACATGTAATTTATCTAATGAATGTATTTTCCTGTCCATGAAATGTCCATGAACAAATCACACATTTGTGTGAATATTCTTGACCTGTGATTCATGCACAAGAAATTAACTGCAAGTATGTGACATTCAGATTATTTTGATTAGTCACAAAGGTCACCTATTATCTTCCTTTTTCCCAAGTGAACAGAATTTGAGCCAGGATCCCAATGTGAATAGTTCAATGTGATAGTCCCAATGTGAATATAGATTTGAATTTGCATTCTCTAACTTTTCTGTAATATTTGTTTAAAATTTACTATTCCTCTGCACTAAACGTATTTTAGAATATTTGTGGAAAATGAATATTACCTGCATGTGAATACAGCGTAATGAATCAATTCAATACTTAAAATAAGTGTTTGTCTACATTTTTGCTCCATTATAGATGGAGCCAGGCAGAAGTTTTATTTGTGTCAGCTTATCCATGTTTTGTTGAATTTGGTTAATTTCTAGTAATGTAATTAAAATGTTCACCCTTTCATTGTCCATCCAAATCTTTTATTTCAACATTACAGCAAATGAAAATCGGTATGAAGGAACATGGAAAGATGGAAAGAAACATGGCCAAGGAAAATTTTTTTATCTGAACAAAGGCCAGTTGTTCGAAGGTGTGTGGGTAGCAGATATTCCAAAATGTGGAACTATGATTGACTTTGGACGAGAAGATGCTCCTGCACCTACACAGTATCCAATACCGAAGGTAATGCTGTTTGGAAATTTAAGCTTTTCAAATTGTGTTTTCATGTTTACAGTTGTCACATCAGTTTTTAACCCATACATCTCAGTAGCATTTCTTTCTTCTTTGAATGTCCACATGGATTCCTCACTCTTCATGTGTCTGTGCCCCATTGCATATAAGATTGGATTCCTTTGTCCAGTGATGTCTTTTGGGTCCCAGCTGTGCCCTAGATCTCCTTGTGTCCCCCTCCCCAGGGTATAAACAATTAGGCGGGCTCAGTTATTGTCACCAATAACTGAGCCAGACAAAACCCCGCTTAACTTTTAAAAAATAAACTTTTTTTTAACCATTTTTATTAATTAGATGAAAAATAAAAGGCTACTAAACTAGGTTAATTCTAGATAAATTAAGCTAAATTAATTCTAAAACAAGATACATTCATGGAGGTTAGGTCTATCATTGGCTATTAACTAGAATGGATAGGAACGGTGTCCCTAGCCTCTGTTTGTCAGAAGCTGGAAATTGATGACAGGAGTAGGGATGTTAAATATCGGTTAATTGAATAGTCAATTAACCTCATGAATTCTTAGCATTTACTTGACTATTCATTTGTCCCCGAAATGGTTAACCAATAGCTCCCCAGGAGCAGGGCCAAGACCCCCCTGCCATTTCACACTGCTGCCTCTGTATCACAGATAGCAGCACGGGGTGCCAGATTTTCGAAAGTTCAGCGTGCAGTCTAGACGCTCTCTTTCGAAAGAGGCTCTTTCAAAAGTATCTTTCGAAAGAGCCTCTTTCGAAAGAGGCTTGCAGTCTAGACATAGCTTTGGTGTGAGCTGGAACTGAGCTGGGCTGCCTACACGCCTGGCTCCTAATACACTTTAAATGCAGAGCCATAGTGGGGGTAGGTCCCAGACCTGGCAGAAACCAGGACTCAGCCAGGCTGCTGGCCAGCCTGCTAAAAAATTTACTGGTGGGTGGAGAGGAAATGTGTGTAGTCTATTAACTTATAAGCTTTTGCTAATTGGCTAATGGAATACACTATTACATCCCTAGACAGGCAAGGGATCATTTGATGATTACCTGTTCTGTTCACTCCTTTTGGGGCATCTGGCATTGACCACTTTTGGCCAACAGGATACTGGCTTAGATGGACCTTTGGTCTGACCCAGGATGGCCATTCTTATATTCTGTTGTACTGGGACAGAAGCTGCTATGGAAGAATGTTAAATCTTCAGGCTTTAAGACATGCCCCTCCTATGAAGATTCTATGCAAGTCAGTGGTAGATACTTGAAACCTGGGATGAGTCAAAGAGATATCAACTCTAGTCTCAGTTCTGTGGGTCCTGGTGGGGGAGGTTCATGTCTCAATTTGTCTCTGGAGCACTGCTTCTTCCTACCCATTCTTGCAGAATTTTACAAGTGGATCAGAGTTGAAATTGGGATTTACCTCAAAGGACTTGTGTCTACTTTACCTGCTCTTAAATTTTCCAGTGATGGAAATTCAACAACTTCTCTGCAGTTTATTCCAGTGCTTAACTACTCTGCCAGTTAGGAAGTTTCTCCTAATATCCAACCAAAACCTCCTTTGCTGCAGTTTGAATCCATTGCTTCTTGACCTATCATTAGAGATTAAAGAAAATAATTTTTTTCCCCTCCTTCTCCTTGTAACAATCTTGTGTGCAGGAAAACTGTTATCATAACTCCTTTTCCCATTTTCTCTGTCCCAGACTAAAACCCAAATTTTTCAATATTCCCTTGTAAGTCATGTTTTTTAGACCTTTAATTATTTTTGTTGCTCTTCTCTGGATTTTCTCCAAGTTGTCCATATCTTTCCTGAAATGTGGCACCCAGAACTGAACAAAATATTTCAGTTGAGGCCTAATTAGTATGGAGTACAGTGGAATGACTACTATTTGTGTCTTGCTTACAGCTTCCACTGCTACTATATCCCAGAATGATGTCTGCTACTTTTGCAAGTGTTACACTTTCCCCCAGTCCAAGTCGTCTCAGATTCTCAGTATAATATTAACAGATTGTTGCATCCCTCCTGTGAGCCCTTAGGATCCTTTTCCCCATACCACTGAAGAATGCCTTTTAAGTAGCTATTACATCATCTCAAATGATAAGGGCAATTCGGTCTTTTAGGGCGGGTCCCCTATTTACAGGGTTTCACTAGGACAGGGTTATTCACAGGCCTCATCCCCATTTCCTTGCCCAAATTGTTTCAGAGTTCCATATGAACAAAGTTAATTAATTTACATTTTTGACTCTGTGTCACAACTCCAGCAACACTGCGAGTTCTTGCGCAAGAACACTGATGTTCTAATGTATGAAATCAGTACTTCTTGCACGAGAACTATGATGCTCCCGCTCAGGAATAAGCCCTCTTGGGCAACTGTTCTTGCGCAAGAGGCCAGTGTAGACAGGCAACATGAATTACTTGCGCAAGAAAGCCCTGTGGTTAAAATGGCCATCAGAGCTTTCTTACGCAAGAGAGCGTCTACACTGGCAAGGATGCTCTTGCACAAAAGCACATCTCTTGCGCAAAGGCACATGCCAGTGTAGACGCTCTCTTCTGGAACAATTTTTGCAGAAGAATTCTTCCGCAAAGAGTTCTTGAGCAAAATCATGCCCATGTAGACGTAGCCTAAATGTATAGGGCAGCCATGTGGCTAATCACTCATACACCATGTTTTCTAGATCATTAATAATTTTTGTTGCTTTTTTGTTGTTGACTTTCTGCAATTTCTTCTAATATGTCCTGATATGTGGTGCCCAGAACTGGACACAATACTCAAACTGAGGCCCAGAGTAGAGTGGAAGAATGACTTTTTTTGTCTTGCTTACACTCCAGTTAATACAGCCTAAAACAATGTTTCCTTTTTTTGCAACAGTGTCACACTGTTGACTCATATTTAGCTATGATCTCTAAATCCTCTTCTGCAGTATTTCTGTCTAAGTAGTCATTTCCCATTTTGTACATGTGCAACTGATTGATCCCTACTAAATGGAATACTTTGCATTTGTCCTTACTGAATTCCACCCTGTTTTCTTCAGACCATTTCTCCAGTTTGTCTAGATCATTTGGAATTATTCTATCCTCCAAAGCACTTGCAACCCCTCCCAGCTTGGTATCATCTGCAAACTTTATAAATTTATTCTATAAGTGTATTTTTTATGCCATTATCTAAATCGTTGACGATATTCAACAGAACCGGTCCCCAAACTGATCCCTGCAGAACTTCACATCTTAAGTCCTTTCAGCATGACTGTGAACCATTGATAATTACTCTCTGGGAATGGTGATCCAACCAGTTATGCACCAACCTTATAATAGCTCTATCTAGATTGTATTTCCCTAGTTTATGAATGAACAAATAATGCAAGACTATATCAAATGCCTTACTAAAGTCCAGATATACCACATCTACTGCTTCCCTCATCCACAAAGCTTGTTATCCTGTCAAATAAAGCTATCAGGTCAGTTTGACATGATTTGTTCTTTTCAAATCCATGCTGTTACTTATCACCTTATGTGACGGCACATTGGGGTCCCCCGCCTCCTGCACCCCCGAAAGGGCACGAACAGACTCCACCAGCTGGTAGAACAGAGGGAGTTTATTGCCTCTCCAGAATACAGCACAGCACAGATGTCACCAGGTTACAGGGCAGGCCTAGGATGCCTCAGCCCCCCCTTGATATGGGGTGGGGGGTCCGGCTTCTAAAACCCCCAGCCTGTTGCTGAGGCTGCTTCCTCCATGCTCCCAGACAGAAAACTAACTAACTCTCCTCCAGCCCTGCCCCCCAGCCAGGGGCGGCATTCCACCTTCCTTTGTTTCTCCCCATGGGGGTTAGCTGGTCAGACAGGTTTGGAGCCCCCTTTGCATAATGACCAGACAGCAGAGGTTGTCACAGCCTTAGCAAGTTACCCCCACTTATTATCCTCTAGATGGAGCAAAAAATTAACATTATCTTTCCTGGCATGGAAATTAAGCTGACTGGTCTGTAGTTTCCTGAGTTGTCCTTATTTCTCTTTTTAAACATGGAAAAAAGTCTTCTGGAATCTCTTTTGTATTCCATTACTTTTCATGGTAGATGGATAATGGCTCAGCTGCTGAATATTCCAGTATGCATTTCATCAGGCCCTGTTGATTTGAAGACATCTATCATATCTTTCCTGGCATGGAAATTAAGCTGACTGGTCTGTAGTTTCCTGAGTTGTCCTTATTTCTCTTTTTAAACATGGAAAAAAGTCTTCTGGAATCTCTTTTGTATTCCATTACTTTTCATGGTAGATGGATAATGGCTCAGCTGCTGAATATTCCAGTATGCATTTCATCAGGCCCTGTTGATTTGAAGACATCTATCAAGACATCTATTTTTTATGAATTACTCCATTTTCACTGGCATTCACTATGTCAGGCATCCAGTCACCATTAATCTTATTGGTGAAAAACCAAAACAAGCCTTTAAGCACCTCTGCCATTTCCACATTTTCTATTATTGTTTTTCCATCTTCATTGAGTAATGGGACTATCTTGTCCTTGGTTTTCCTCTTGCTTCTAATGTATTTGTAATATAATGTTTTCCTGTTATCCTTATGTATCTAGCTAGTCTGATCTTTTGTTCCTTGGGCTTTTTAATTGTGCCCCTCCATAACTGTGTTATTTGTTTGTATTCATCTTTTGTAATTTGACCTAGCTTCTACTTTTTGTAGGATTCCTTTTTCATTTTAGGTCATTAAAGATTGAAGCCAGAGTGATAGCTTGCTGTGCTTCCTATCTTTCCTACACTACTACACAGTGAAATAGTTTCTTCTTATGCCCTTGATAATGATTCTTTGAAAAATTGCCAATTGTTTTCCTTCTTAGACACATTTTTACCTTGGGATCTTACCTACCATTCCCCGAGTTTGCTATAAATCTGTCTTCCTGAAATCCATTGTCTTTATTTTGCTGTTCTCCCTCCTACCATTCCTTAGGCCTTGTCTACACTGGGAGTTTAGGTGGAACTTAGCT